CGTTCTTTTGCCGAGGCCGCGCTTTGGGCCTTGGTGGCGTGGCGCCTCGACTTGTTGTTGTCTAGCTAGCGCGCGCGTGCGTGCGTGCTGGGCCTCGGGCTTGATGGAGTTGTTGCCTTGTTTGGTCCTGGCAATTTCATGGGCTGAATGGAGGGGTACGCTTAAAATACATAGGAATGAACTGAAAGTGGTACAAACACTTTCAGTCTACACCTTTGTACTCTTTATTAGATTTTTTGCGAACGCTTGTACTCTTGATTAGATTGGCGCTCTAAAAAAACTCGAAACAAATTGAAAGTGGTAAAAACACTTTTGGTCTAACCCTCCGTGCTCTTCCCTAGATTAACGCTCTAAAATGGTAGAAATAAATTGGAAGTGGTACAAACACTACTGCTATGAGTCCACGACGGTAGCAACTAGCACCAAAGCTAACAAACCAAGATAGTAAGACTAGATTTGCATCACTTAAGCTATGAAATGTATATGAGTAGGGGTGGGCAGAAAAAGACCGAACCGAAATGACTGAGACCGAAAAATTCGGTCAGCACTTTCTACTAACCGAATTTAGTTTGGTCAATTCGGTTTTGGGGCTCGGTTAATCGAATTGAAAAAAACCGAAATATAACACTGGCCCATTAGGCCCAATACCTCCTCAGCAAAAGCAAAACCTTATCCACTCCACGACCTTATCTAACCCACTACCACCATCATCCTCCTCTCCATCCACCGGGCCCTTCCCATCCCTATCCCCTCCTCCCCCGTGCTGGTGATGCCGATCGCGATGGTGAAGCTCCCGGATGGCCTCCCGCAGCCGCTCCTTCGCCTTCCGTAGGTCGCCGCCGCCCTGTGCGCCGCCTCCGCCTCCAGTGCCGGCACCACCTCTGCCTCCGTCCTCCGCCTCCAGCACCGGCAGTGCCTCTGCCTCCATTGCGCTGTTGTCGCGGGCACCCATCGATCATCGCGCCGCCTCTGCCTTGGTGTCGCCTCCGTCTCTACTCTCCAACGGCTGTGAAAAAATTCGGTCTGACCGAGACCGAGAACGAATTTGTTGGTCCTGAGTTTCCAAAGACCAAACTAACCGAAAAACCGAAGACCGAGACCGAATTTGTCGGTCCAACCGAACGCCCACCCCTATATACGAGGAGCCAATATAAGTATTGTCCTGATGATCTAAATTCTCACAAATTGTTTGGTCAAACGTGAAATGTGAGCCAAGCATGTTTTTCTACAACATGTAACCCTCTTCGTGCACAAATCAACATCAAACCTACAACCATCACAATTTTATGAAATCTTCTACATAAAAACTTAGTATGCACCCTTGTCCTGATCGATGGACTGCTGGTCCGACTAGTGAACCGTCGGACGCACCAGTTCAATCACCGGTATGTTTTTAATAACTATTCAAAAGATCGATATGGCATGGATATATCTAAATTAGCAAAAAATAGAAGAAATCTAGTCTATCGTTGGGAAGGAACCAAATCCTTCTACGCCAGAGGGACACACCGTCTTTGTCTTAGGCCCAGAAGACAGATTGTTCGATTCATCTCATTCGTAGATGTCCACAACATCTAGGAGCTTTGACCACTAGAGCCACCATGCGTCGGGGTATGTGATACCGTTTCAGGCTTCCTGTCGCTCTTGCTGGTGTTCGTCGGCCTCAGCTGTTAGCCTCGTCAAATGGTGGTGCTGCCAGCAAAAATGCCTTGAGCATGTCAAGTGCTGCGTGGAAGCAATCCTTGTCCTTTCGCCTGCGAAGAAGTAGGGAAGCGAGCATAGATGAAGCAGGAATTGTCCGGCGCGTCGTAGTCCTTTGCAAGGTTTGGACAACCTGGCTCCTTGTTGCCTAGGTTCAGTAAAGCGTTACGACTATCGAGAAAGAAGCAGACGCAAGGCATCGAATGATGGCTCTTTATGCAGAAAAAGAAAGAGCAGGGCAATATTTCGATGAGATCCATGTAGCTATTCTGAGATAGCAAGACATCGATATGTTGTCGACCTGCAGTAGCAGCAGAGATGAAGATGAAGAGTGTGGCTGGGTTGCCCAATTTGAAGCCAACATCGATGATAGGACCAACAACAAGCATTGAGATGTCACCCCTGCCATCGCTGTCAGCTGCACCACGTATCCCTGTGCATGGGGAATATCAACGGCGAATGCGTTTCACCAGCGAGAGAGGAGCTTGAGCAGGTCGAGCGACAACTTCAACGACAGCCGTTCAGGGAGAGTGACATGAAGCCACTAGCGTGCCACATACCCTAACAACCGTAGATCCCCAATGATGTGGACGACTGCAAATGGGATGAACCAAGCAGGCAGTTGCTTTTGGGCCAAAGACGAAAAAACAAAGTTAGACTAATGCTATTGTTGGAAATGCAAAGGATGATTATCTAGCGCTGGACATATGCCTGATGTTCTACATCAAAGGATTTGGTTTTCATTGGGTTTTGTCACTTCTAAAACCATCCAATATAGTAGTTCAATGAACACCGAACATTGGATCAAAGTAAACTGCTAACAAGACCCCTCAGGAAATTTTACTTTACATTGTAGTCCTCCAGCCTCTCAAAATTTGAACGTGTCCGTGCTTTTGAGTTCAGGTATGTGGAATGTATTTATAACACATTATAACTAACGGTTGATAGCAAATTAGTTGTTACAACAAAAAGACCAACATTCCAAATGAACCGTGTTGAAAATTGGGCAACATTTAAATGCGGCTTTTGGGGCTTGTTTGGTCATGACCCAAATGAATCATTCCAAAAATTTGGCAGCATTCAAAGTAGTCCATTTGGTGTGTAGAAGAAAGAAGGGCATTGACAAATATTTTGGTTTAGATGAAATGAAAATAATCCACTAGAATGCTTTTTTGGTAGCAAAGCAAATAAAACCTTTGCCCACCTTTATCAGTAATTTGATAAGTTTACTGTTTTTAGTTGTTACAAACCAAACAGAGCGTGACTGACATGTGGAAAACCAAGGTCTCGCTAGCTCCATGCATACCGTCTTAAGCGAAATATGCAGCGAGACTACACTAGAATTAGATTTTTTTCCCTCGTATCCCGTGAGATCAGTTGAAGATGCGTCATTTTGGTAATAGAGATTGATTTAATTAAATGCAGGCAACATATATGGTCAGAATGACGTCTATACTACTATTTTGCCACGGTTTGTTATAGTTTTCTCCACGAGACAAGGCGTGACCATAGGTGGACGCAAACACACCCCTGCTACTTCTGTGGTATGATATCTTGATTTGTGTTCATGTCGACGCGGCCAACCATCCAATCTGCCTGTCTTGCCTCTAACATGTCCTTAAAACCTAGCTCTTCAGGGGTTAAGGCAGCAAGCGGAACAACAAGAGAAGGGATGCCATGGAGGCAACAACGTCGATGATCCCCTCTCCCTCGGATCCATCTACTCCAGCGTCCCCACGCCACCTCTCTCACTGTCCCTATTCGTGGACCCCGCGCTGCTTCCCTCGCCAACGCCAGTGGTCATCCCCACATTGTCTCATTTGCCGACGCAGCTAGTGGTCTCCTCCACGCAGCCTCACTTCATCATCATCCCCGCTCTCTCTTCCTCATTATCACAGGTGCCACAACCTCCTTCCCCGCTCTCTGTACTAGCTCAAGTTCTTATGTATGAATACCAGGAATCACCTCACTGTGTCACTGGCACTAAGAACCACGTGTTGTACTATGCTTACATTGAGATGTGTCGGCAGCTCGACCCACAGGGGCTATTCAATGTCTAATCAATCAATGCATCTATGCATAATTTAATTTTGACGGGTGAACTTAACGGATGACACAATATGAGATTATCCTTCCTTCATTTTAGTATCAATAGTTAAAAATATTTTATTGGTCTTGATGAATTACATTTTGTTGGAAAATTGAAGGACCGGTTATGTTCTTTTATGGGACATGCACTTTTTATACACTTATCGTGTGTTACATTTATTACCAATATATGTTCCGTACACTTTTGTTTTGTAGTTTTGATGTGGCCTATTTATTTCATGATTGCATTCCACATTATATATGCTCGTAAAACTTCACTGTGTAAAGACCATTCATTTAATTGAGCCGCTCTAAACTGCTCGAAATGGGTAGTTTATTTTGTGAATCGGCAAAATAAACTGCTAAAGCTATCCAATAGAACACAAAACATTGAATTAAGGTAAACTGCTAACAAGATCCCTCAGAAAACTTTTGTTTACATTGTAGTCCTCCCGCCCCTTGTAAGTTTGAACGCGTCCGTCCCGTTGAGTTCGGTTATGTGGAATGTATTTATAACGCATCATAACTTGTTGTTGAATTGGCTGTTTCAACAAAGGGAAATTGACATTTCAAATGAACCATGCCAAAAATTTGACAACATTTAAATGCGGTTATTAGGACTTGTTCAGTTCATGACCTAAATGAATTACACCGAAAATTCAGCAACATTTAAAGTAGTCCATTTGGTTTGTGGAAAAAAGAAAGGCATTGCCAAATATGTTGGTTTATATGAATTGAAAGTAATCCATTGGATGGTAGCAAACCAAATAAAACCTTTGTGCCAAATATGTTTTGTGTTCGTTAGTTGTTACAAGGTCTCACCAGTTCCATTCATACCATCTTCAGCGAAATATGTGGCAAGACTTCACTCGAATTGGATTGTTTTCCTTCGTATTCGTGAGACCAATTGAACATGTACCGTTTCGGTAATAGAGATTAATTTAAATGCATACGAGAGATATGGTCAAAATGCCGTCTATACTATTTTGTCACGGTTTGTTAGAATCTTCTTCGGGAGACGAGGTGTGACCCCGTGTGGACGCAAGCAAACACCTGCTATTTCTGTGGTTTGATATCTTAGATTTGTGTTCATGTGGACGCGGCCAACCTTCCGATCTGCCTGCCTCGGCTCTAACCTGTCCTTAAAACCCTAGCTCTTTAGGCTTTAAATGCAGCAAATAAAATAGGTTAGTAGCTACTATAGGAGGGGAATGGATGGGAAGGGACGCCATGGTGGCGGCGGCGGCGGCGAAGATCCCCTCACCCTCACCCTCGGATCCATCTACTCTAGCGCCCCCACGCCGCCTCCCTCACCGTCCCTGGTGGTGGCCCCTACGCCGCCTCCCTCATCATTCCTAGTTGCGGCCCCCACGTTGCTTTCCTCACCAACTCCTGTGGTCGTCCCCATGCTGCTTCCCTCGCCAACACGGCCGGTGGTCTTCTCGATGCAGCCTCACTTTGACCTCGTCCCCGCGCTCCCTCCCTCGTCACCGCAGGTGCCACAATCTTCTCTTTCCTCGCTCTCTGCTCCGGGTTCGACTCGCCACTACCGTAATAGTCCTCGTTCCTCGCTGCTTGCTCCACCTTCGAATCGTCGCCGCCTCAACAACCCCGATGAAGGCCAGTCCCCACGAGGCCGCGGTGAGGAGGCGAATGGGGACAATGGAGTGCTAGTCATGGCGACATCATTCCCATGGGTGACATCGGCTGATCTGCCAGTGTTGCATTGCACCCTAGAGAGCATGTTGCTGAAGGGCATCACGTCTGTGGAGGGCAAAGCCACCTGCAATCGTTGCAGTGCGGAGGTGCCCATCGCGTACGATCTGGACGCAAAGTTCCGGGAGGTGCGCGACTATGTTGCAGCCAACATCCACATCATGGATGACCGTGCCCCGGAGCACTGGATGTGCCCGCGGCTGCCAGACTGCGGCTCGTGCGGCAAGAAGGCCTGCATGTGGCCACAGATCCCAAACGAGAAGCGTGAGATCAACTGGTTGTTCCTCTTCCTTGGCCAGATGCTGGGCTGTTGCACACTAGAAGGCCTCAAGTTCTTCTGCAAGAATACCAAGAATCACTGCACTGGCGCCAAGACCCGCGTGTTGTACTATGCTTACATTGAGATGTGCCGGCAGCTCGACCCACAGGGGCCGTTCAATATCTGATTGATCCATGCATGCGTGTGCATCCGTGTGTCTAGATATGTTGGATATTATGTTATTTTGTTTCTGTTTGCTTGATTATCCGGTACTTTTAAGGGGTGAATGTAACAGATGAATAGATGGCTAGGAAAGAGATAAATTTTCCTTTCTTTTAGCTCTGATTGTTAAGAATTCATCCATTTATCAATTTGATAATTAGTTTTTGCAGGAAAAAGGACTGGTTATGTTCTTTTGTAGGACGTGCACTTTTCATACAACCATTCACATTTGTTACCAATATGTGTTCCGTACACTTTTTTCTAACACTTCTGTTTAATTGTGATGTTGCCTATTTATTTCATCCGTACATGCAGGTTCCATTATACTGTACCCATAAAACTTTGCCTGGAATGTAATATCTTGAAGTACTTGCTTCCCAATGAGGTCTGTATATCACCCACGATTTTAGCTAGGTATTAACCTTTTTGAGTTCAATCTTCTATACGGTTCACTCTATGGACCATCTTCCAATTGGTGTATTTTTTTTTATGTTACAAATTACCCTTCATGATTCCTAACTATACGAGACCTTGTTCGGTTTGGAGGGGATTGAGGAGGAATGATTCCACACCAGAATTGTTATGAAATAAATCTCCTCCAATATATCTCTTTGGCCTTATTCAGTTTGGAGGGTATTAAGGGAGAATAAATCCACAGTACAATAGATGTGAAATAGATCCCCTCCAATCCCTCACTCTTAGGGATAATAATCGTACATGGTTTTACAGGCATTAGATGAACACAATTTGAAAGAACAAAATCCTTATTTTTTTTCATGCCACCGGAAATTTATTTTTCATAAAATTCAAAGTTTTAGGTGTCAAGTTAAGTTTCCATAGATTTAAATGGAACATCATTGAGTCTGAACTATTCTTTATTAATATTAGTGTGCAATGGTTTGGAGAAATCTTAGATAATTTAGTGACTATTGGATGATTGGAGTCTTAATAAATTGCTAGTCCTTTGCATTTGGATTTTATTGTGTTGATACTAAAAACTCTGCCTATTTTGTGTAGTTGTGTGATAACCTTAATCTCATATTAATTTTTAGATGTTTTGTCAATGGGATTGACTCTGATAAATCTATGACCGACAATTGCCACTATCTTAGTATGTTATGAAGTATTTTGATGGATATAAGTTTATATAAAATTGTTCCTATATATAGGGTAGTACATCACTACATTGTACTAGAGCCTTTGCTTCATACTGTAACATTTGTTTTTGGAAAAAGTACGAATTACTCCCCCGAACTATCGCGGTCGACCGACTTACCTCCCTGAACCACAAAACCGGACATTCTTCACCCCCCAACTATGCAAACCGGACGAATTACCCCCCTCGACCCAATTTGCGGTGGTTTTGGTCTACGTGGCATACGCGTGGCAGCCCAGTCAGCATTATATTTATAAAAAAATGTGGGACCCACATGTCATACTCTCTCATTCTTCCTCTCTCTCTCTTCTCTCTCTCGCTCTCTGTCTCACTCTTCCTCTCTCTCTCTCTCTCTCTCTCACGGTCATGGGTCGGCGGCGGCGGGGGACGAGGAGGAGGTGGCGGCGGCGCCGACGGGGGACGAGGAGGCCGCAGTGGCACGGGACGGATGGACAGAGGCCATGACGAGGAGGCGGCGGCAACGCGGGATGGACGGACGAAGGCGGGGACGGCGGGGGACGAGGAGGCCGTGGCGGCGCGGGACGGACGGACGGAGGCGGGGGTAGGTTGTGGGCGGGTGTGGACGGTGCCGAGAGATGCGTGCTGGTGGCGGAGCTGGTGCAGATGCAAGGCATCTTGAGGCAACTGGAGGTGGAAATGGGCACACATGGGGGCGTTGGCGGCAGGGGTAGGGCGGCGATGTCGTGTACCACGGCGACCACACCTGCGCGCACGGAGCAACATCAGCAGCCGACGCTGCCACAGAAGTAGAACGCCGTCGGTCGCATTCACCTCCATGGCCGTCAACGCATGTCGTCGTCCCCCTTCGTCGTCGTCCTCCACTCCTCCGTCGCCATCCTCCACTCCTCATCCCCCGCCACCACCGACCCGTGAGAGAGAAAGAGGAAGAGTGAGACAGAGAGTGAGTGAGAGAGAAAGAGTGTAAGAGTATGGCATGTGGGTCCCATATTTTTTTATATAAATAGAATAGAATGCTGACTAGACTGCCACGCGTACGCCACGTAGACCAAAACCACCGCGGATTGGGTCGAGGGGGTAATTTGTCTAGTTTGCATAGTTGGGGGTGAAGAATGTCTGGTTTTGTGGTTCAGGGGGTAATTCGGTCGACTGCGATAGTTGGGGGGGGGTAATTCGTACTTTTCCCTTTTTGTTATGTGTTCTTCTACTAGAACCTTATTGCTTTTAGTTTGAAACAGATTATTGAGCAGATTGTTGCGGCAAATTATCTACTTGATTACACGGATAAATTAAATATTTTACAAACAAACAAATAGATTGAACAAGTGGCCTGATAGAATTAATTTTTAGAAAATGTATTTTTTGGAAGTGGGAAGCAAATATTCCATTTCATTAATCCGGTACATAATCTGAAAAGAGTTGACTCACATGTAGTTTCTAAACTTTGTATTGTGGTAAAATCTTTAGCTCTTTTATAAAAATTGAATATGATTCTATACTCATCGCGCACTTCATCCATCGTCGTGCTGGTTTTTCATCCGATTTTATTTCAGTTTCATGCGACCGACTTCGTCTCGTCTCGCATCGCATCGCGCCGTCCGTCAAACAGAAGTGAACGAGTCCGCATAGATCGTGTGTGGTCCCACTCGCACCAATCCTGTTCTATTACGATTTGCTCCATGGCTGGCGATTCGATCGCCTGCATGGCTGCATGGCTGCATCGCCTGACATAGCGGGAGACAGGTTAATCCACGCGCCACCGCCCGTCACGAGCCACGCCGCTGCCGCTGCCGCCTGGGAGAATCGGGTTTCCGCGCTCGCCGCTGGAAGCTGCCGGCAACGGGCTCCATCCCGCTATGACGGTTCAATTCCATTCCCTCACCGCAACTGCCCGGGGAGGATGCAACCCGCGTCACCTGCGGCGAGTTTCTCTGACCCAGCCGATTCCGTCTAAAATTAATCAGAAAGTGAGTAGCCTCATCCTACTATACTACTACCCATCCTCCGCCTGATTTCTCTTATGGAAGGGGAACCTACTACCGATCTCACATTCACATATTTGTGATTGATTGGTCGAGCGTGGAGATGGCAGCCGGGAGCCCGGGAATGATAGCACGGGACGACCTTCACTTATAATCATATAGCGGTTCGAAATGGTATGCATGTTTAATTGCCATTGCTTCCCCTTCGCATTCATCTAATGTTCTTCATTTCAGTGTGGGCGAATCAAAGAAATATGTGGTCAGGGTCAGGGACGACAGTTCTGTGTGGGGGAGAAAAGCCGATGATGGATTGAGACATCCCTCTTCAAGCTGAGGAGTGATTCCTCAAGTATGCTATAATCAACCTCCTATTTCAATCTATTCAGAGACAGGAGGAACTGTGCTGCTCCGAACTATTCTGCTCATGATCCTACGAAAAGGTGCGGACTTGTTAGCCTGCCTTGAGAAGGTTCAGCACATTAAGCCTCCACAAGTCAAACCACACGATAAGCTCCTATGATTTGTTAACATCCAGGTAAGTCCTTAAGAAAAACTAGGTATGTATTGCTAAATTTTTCATATTCTGATATTCCGTCTTGTTTCAATCACAGATTCCCCACCTATCATGTCATTGTGCTGTACATCAAAAATCTCGGAGTACATAGACAAGGGGGTTTCATAGCATTTCAAGGAGCCTATTATGGTTAGACTTTTCGATTCAAAATCTTATTATACTTTCTAATTAAGTTGAATTTGTTCCTGTGAACTAATAATAGAATGTATCTGACCAGGCCTTCCAAGGGGGAAAAAAAGATTTATGTATCTGACTGCGAAAGAAAGTGAGAAGGTGAAAAGGTTGCATCAGAATCAACAATCACTTAGACAGGTTAAAAATCATGACAAATCTATATTAGCTTTTTCCGTTGTAACTTGCGGGCATTGTCTTTAGTAGTTCTCTCCGTTGCAACTCACAGGCATTTTGCTAGTTAAAAAAAGAAAACAAAGCAATATCATTTTTGCATCAAATACTTGATATCCATGCAAATTTTAGCTGCAAACTTGTTTATTTTCTATGAAAACTTATTGAGTTTAACTTTGATAATTGTTCTCGTTTTTTCTAAACTCTAGTAATAATGAATCCCCCCCCTCCCCCCCTAAAATGTCTAATACTACAGATATTCGAACAGATTTTCAAAGTACAAAAACGCACCCATTATGCCCGTTTTCAAATTGCATGATCTGTAGGACACCTTGTATATATATATCAATATCAATGTCAAAATTTTCACAATCAATACTGAAACCGATTATATTTTGAAATAGTTGGCTGCAATTTTTTTTGGTGCCCCTGTTACAGGATATGCACCAAACTCAAAACCATACCTGGGATGGGGGGCTTGGCAATTGTTCTCCCTCGTGGGCTTGTGGCCCGGCCAACAACCCAACCAAACTCAGCCAAATCCATCTGGAAGCACGCGCTTTCCCCCTTCCCCAGATAACAAATTCACCAAATTCCCCCGCCTCGAGGAGGAAGCTAACGACCGTCCGGTCAATTTCCAACCGCCCTCTACGACTGCCGATCCTTCCTACTAATTCCTATGCTTGGACAGTTGGACATCCTTGAATTCCAAGAGTCAGCCGCGCCGCCGGCCGGTGCCCTCTCCCACTCGTCTTCAAACGTCCCAACTAAATTATAGCAGCCAAGAGCGAATCGCCTCTGGCCTCTGCTACTTTTTCATCCCCCGCACGGAAGGATATCTCAATTGTGAATCGTATCGCATGGTGTCCGGGGAAAAGGAGAAGTGGAAGAGAAGCCAGAAGGGAGACGACGAGAGATTTGTCCGGGCGGCAAGCCAAGGCGGCCGTTCTTTCCGTCGTGAACGCTTCGTGTAAGGTTCGGTGTCCCATCTCTCATGTCCGTTTCAGAAGAAAACCGTATTGCTGTGTTGATGCTAATTACTGATGATGCTGAGGTTCGGCTATCCTGGATGCATGGCTAGTTCTTAGAGTTCTAGGGACAAGTACAACTATTGTTAAATAGCACGAATTCAAGGTTCTGAGTATGATTTCTGTACTTCTTTTGATGGACAGGCAAAACATCCATCTGATTTATCTTGCGAATTGGATTGCTTAACCTAATCTGGGAATTCAAGTCAGTACGTACGATATGCCGGCACCATCGGCATCCATCCATCTGGGAGTTCCAACTCCGTACATAACATCTCATGGATCCAAAATTGCTCGCCTACACATGTATGACTGGATTGTGCTGATTCTTCTAGTCGTAGTAGATGGAATACTGAACATAATAGAACCATTCCATCGATTTGTTGGATCGGATATGATGACAGACCTCAGATACCCCATGAAAGACAACACAGTCCCATTTTGGGCGGTCCCGGTAAACATCTTACCCTTCTAGTTCTATCCAACAGATTTCCTTTGGCCTGTACAGGTAATTAAAGTTTCTTGAAAATTCATGCTTTCGTAGATAATTGGTATCATTGGACCAATGATTATCATCACTGGAATATACTTCAAGAAGAGGAATGTGTATGATTTCCATCATGCCATACTAGGTGAGCTCATGTTCTTTCTATTCTGTTTTGTTTTGCTAGTCTACACATTTTGTAATTTCTTATCTGAAACCTAGCAATGCCCTTGCAGGTCTCCTATTTTCAGTTCTTATCACGGCGGTAATAACTGATGCCATTAAAGATGGGGTTGGTCGACCGCGTCCAGATTTCTTTTGGCGCTGTTTTCCTGACGGAGTACCTGTAAATTTCTAGCTCTCAATTGGATTCTCTAAGCATGATTTTATCGGAGCCGGCCTTTGTTGCATCTGTCATGTATGTGGAACTTATGGATTTTCTTGGATTGCAGGCTTATGATAATTTCACTACAGGAGTGCTTTGTCATGGTAAGGCGAGCGTTATCAAAGAAGGTCACAAGAGTTTTCCGAGTGGCCATACTTCTTGTAAGTGAATTCTGTCAGTTGATAATTTCGTATGTATTTCTCTACCTTGTTACTACGAAATCTCAGTGGAATTTCAGTTAGCATTATCAAACACATAGGATTGGTCATACTCTAGACTGCAAGAGCTTTTACGTGCTGCCTGCTCTTGTGGAGTACTGTGGATCGCTGACGAATTTATTTTTGTTTCTTCAGGGTCTTTTGCTGGCCTTGGTTTCCTGTCATGGTATCTGGCTGGTAAAATAAAAGTTTTTGACAGAAGAGGCCATGTTGCAAAACTCTGCATTATTATTCTCCCTCTGCTCCTTGCAGCCTTGGTTGCTGTTTCTCGGGTAGATGACTATTGGCATCATTGGCAAGATGTGTTCACCGGTGGAATTTTGGGTAGGTTAATTTTATAGTGTTACCTTTGCAGATTATACCTCGCAACAAGTAAAGGAGGTACTGACAAGTGTGCTGCATGTAATTCTTGGAAGGTTCTAACTTTACTGTTAAAACTTTGCAGGGTTGGTGGTTTCTTCATTTTGCTACCTCCAATTTTTTCCAATGCCATCTGATGAAAACGGTATGCTTCATAGTTCAGACTACTTTTCTTCATGATTATTGCAGAGATGAAAATCACCCCCAAAGGGTCATTTTGAGTAGTACAATTTGATACTGTATTTTGACATATCTTTCGTACTGTAATACGCTGACCTGAAATTTTTATGGCCAATTTCCTGGGCATCGCGTGATTGATAATACCATGTTCTGTACGAAATATCTGAAGTTGTACTGTAATTTTGTATATTCTCGAGCTTCAGATATCTGTCTCTCCTAATGTTTCTGACGGCTTTACATTGTTCAAATTTTCGATGACAGGATTATGGCCTCACGCATACGCCCGGCACATTCTCAACCCTGATCAGCTGGAGAACAACGCGCAACCCACGTCCGTGGATCGCCCTAACTCTCTGCCGAACGGGTCCTTTAGAAGCCCTAATGGATTGGAAATGGGAAACACGGGCCAAGGCCAAGCATTAGATTTCATGGAAGCTGGTCGTAGATATCAATAACGAGATAAAAACCTGCTACTGTTGTAGCAGACATACCTGACGTACTTTTTGATAGACTGAGAATTATACGGAGACCTTTCAGGTTCACTTTGGTACATATACCGTGTAGAATTGTTACTTGTACATTTCAACATGATGATGTTAGCTATTTCTCATGTAAATCTATACCAGATTAAAATAATGCACCTACATTTGGGTATCCGGAAGTATGCCTGACAGTAGATGGTCACATTGTCGCTTGGCTTATCATACAGAATAGGGTTTGGACCTCTGGCCGGCTTGTGACCAGGGGGTTGGAAAAATAATGGCAGGTGCCCTCTCTGCATATAAGAGAAGATGATACGGCTTTGCACCTCGTCGCCGAGTGCAGGTATACGAGAAGGATTTGAAACCTCGTTGCGACATGGGTAGGGTTTCACCAGCTAGAACTCCGACGCTGGGGGTGGTGCAACCGGTCAAAGATTGGTGGAAAATACTGGCCTCTGTGTCTGGCGTCCCTAAGAAGGGACTCTGCACCCTGATTCTACTCATCGTATGGGAAGTTTGGAAGGTGCGAAATAGGAGGATATTTGATTATAAGGAAGCCACAACCTCGTATCTCCTTTCAAAGATAAAAGAAGAGGCTGGCATGTGGGCCTTGGCAGGCGCCAAGTGTCTTGGAGAGATCATCCCGCAGTTTGTATAGTGTACAGCTTTCCTTATTTTTTGCTTTTTCTTTACCCTTAGGGGTTGTATTTTTTTTCTTGCTATATTCAATGAATAAGCACATTCTTGTGCTAGTTCCTTTCAAAAAAAATGCTTGTTTTAAAATTGAGCATAACACATAAGTGTGCTAATGTGATGATGTGAAACAAACATCAGCTTGTGTTCTTAACATAAGGATCCATAAGAAGGGCTATTGCTTGGAGTTACAGTGATCATAGGACATGTTTCATGAGGATCCATAAAACAAGCAGCTTTGAGTTACAATGATCATAAAAAACTGGAAATGTTTCACTTTCATGAAGATCTGAACACGTCTCAACTCTGAATAGCCTGGAACGGGGTTGCGGCTTAACATGCGGCCCGTTAACTCTAGGGGCGTCTACGGATCGTACGTTAGGGTGGTTAAAGTTTTTAAGCAAACTTTAAACTATTTTTTCTCCTAAATTATATATCTAATTCATGATCCGATTGCACCATTAAATTCGTTGCAATTAAAATTTTAAAACAAGACCACATATGGATATATTCCGACGAAATTTTTTTTAGCTTATTATTGAATTATTTTTAAATGTTGCACGATGTTCCACCAAGTATATCGGAATTGTTTTACTAAGTAGATCGAAAATGTTTCAATCATTTAAATTGGGCGTTGTTTCATCTTTTATAAAAACACAAAAGAATGTTTCAGTTCACTGCAACATTTGATCCATACATAGTGAAACATTATGAGTACACTAGGTGAAACATTTTTTTTGGAAAAAAATAAAACGAATTCCCTTAATAGAGGGTTTCCAAAATATGTGGGTGATTTGTTGCAAAAGAATATTCCAATTAACTACAACATTAGATCTATACATAGTGAAACATTGTGAGTACATTAGGTGAAACATTTTTTGTGAAACAAAAAATGAAACGAAATCCCTTAATAGATGGTTTCCAAAATATGTGGGTGATTTGTTGCAATGCGGCACGTTCCATAATATCAAAATTCACTGCAACATTTAATCCGTACATAGTGAAACATCATGGGTACACTAGCTGAAACATTGTAAAACTACTGGTTTGAAACATCAAAAGAGACCATATGCAACATTAAAAAAATCAATAAAAAAACTAAAATATTTTTTTTCGAAATATAATCATGTGTGGTATTGTTGTAAAGATTTAATTGTAACGAATTTAGTGGTGCAATCAAATAGTAGATTAGATAAATAATTTACGAGAAAAAATCTTTTGAATAAATAAGAGATGTGAGCATGTGGGGGAAAGATTCTTTGAATGTAATAGCAGGCACATGTCCGATTTTTCTGCCCTCCCGTCGGACGTCCGACGCCCAGCATTATCCGTTAACTCTGGATAGCGTGTGTTCTCTTTTTCGTTAGGCCGCCGCATAATTGTGGCTTACATGCGTGCCACGTTTATTGGGCCGAAACGGGACAGTGGCTTGCGTGCGGCCCATTTTAATTCGGGCTGAACGGGATTGAGTGCGACCGGCACGGCCCATTTATGCAAACCTGCTGCCTAAAACATCCGGCCGCCTGATGCAGCGAATCCCATCACCGGCCGCCGATGGACTGAGCCAGGAACGGGCAGCCTCAGTCGTCGAAGCCTGCACTGAACTGCGATCTGTTGAGCATTCTGAGTTTGCCGATCAAATTGCGACTCCTGAACAAAGTGAGTTTTGGGTGGATAGGCTATGTCAAGCTGCAAGCATATCAGGCTTCTAGCTTTTGCAAGAGATTTTTCATTGTTCCAACATGAACACATTCTCTCTGTCGCTATGCGTCGTGCAAATTCCGTGTCACAGAGCATAAAACATGTGATACCAGTACGTGTAAATGTGAGTAGAGGATCGGCATCATATATCTAAATTATCTGTCTGGTCCCTGTAATCATGACACGCATTTTGTTTTGGAGCATATATGTGCTGATGCAGATGCGTCGTCTGCAGTAGTAGTACTCATGTGACACAAAGAAACATGAGATCAACATGGCCTGAACACTGAAATGATGCTTCATTATCTTTTATCATTGGTGTCAGCCAAAAGTGCCCTGATGACCTCACCCTTGAATATGAATAATATGATTCTCTGCTGTACTATATGTTCGCCTGCCATGTGAATCAGGTGATGATCATCGGAACATTTCCCCCTGAATTTGCAAGGTAATGGAGGTCGCCGACACTTGCATTTCGTCCATCTGAATCTACCACAGTGGCACGTTGCTCTGAGTTTGCTCACCTTGTTCCAAGAAAAAACCATGTTGCTCTGTCTGCCTCCTTGGACAGGCTGTATACTTTGAATAAGGTGGTAAAGTTTGAATCAATGAACATATTCAGGCATCGGAGCAACATGGCCAAATTGAGCCTAACCTGCCCCTAGTTAACTTGGAACAGACAAAAACCTGCGAGCTGAACCTGACATACCAACGGGCAACGGGTGGCTCTCGATTAATCTAAGACCGAGAGATGATCAGAAAACTTTTAGTGGAGATGAGCCAGATATGAGCTGTTTAGATGACTCCGAGAGAAGAATTTTGTTGTGACACGAATGATAATGTCTTTCCAACAAGATATGGGTCGCCATTATGTTGCCATTACTTTGACTACACCACAGCTGAAACCTACTCCTTTTTTCCTCTCCACATAATCAACCACGTTAGGCAACAAAAGGTGGTAGATTATTTCATAAATGTAACTTTCTTGTGAACATCACATTTGTCTTAGCTCTCCAGAACACCAGGTCAAATTTGCTCAAACTTCTCACCCAAGCATGCTGTTTTTTTTTTATATGCTGGAACCATTGAAGCCGCCGCAACAGATAGATGGTCCAGCGCGGGGCTTCAAATTAATCAGATTTAAATGGTGGACGATTTATGGCTTTTTCTGACATTGAGAGATTTTTCTTCAGCATACTTTTGAATTGTCTGTGACCACTGGATGCACAATTCATCAATTTCTGTGGCACCCGCCCCCATCAAAAAATTCAGTGATGCGTCCATCTGTGGTCTGACCAGATTACAGTTGATATATGGACCTGAATTAATATATCAACAACCAAATACCTGTCCCCATGCTATATTGCGAATAATTCAGGGATGTTGAGGAGTAGTATGTGTCAATTCTCAGGTTTCTTAGGTCGTCTCCTTGCCGAAAAACCTGGGAGAACATTGTTTAATTCTGGTATGAAGAAAATTGTTGATTCTGGTATGGATTCTGTCGTGCATATAACAGCTGATTAGATGGTAGTCTCACTGAACTAAAGTATGTTTGTATTGGGTTCTTTGGTCATCTCTGCTGCACAACTGCCAAAAACTTACGAGAAGAGAGAAAAGATCACTGACCAAATTAAAGAAGCAAAATTAGGTGAAGAAAAAAAAGGAATGCAGAGGGGACAGTCCACAATCTAGTCTCAATCTGTGTGGCTTGAACTCTTTGATCTCGTCCTCCAGCTGTCTGATGCAAGCTTTGTCAAATCACAGAGCCCACCACGGAAGGCGAAGTTGGCAGCAACATGCACATGACTTTCAGAGAGAGTGATTATTCAATCGATCGATCAGCCGGATGGGCTACATGATGACAAACGGGATTGACTCGGACGCTAATCCGGCGTCCAAAGTAATTAAGCCTAAGTCCTAAGACAAGTTGTGTTGTGCCGATCTGTACTGTGCACGGCTGACCCAATCGTGGCGTGAAGTCCTCGAATTAAGCCATCGATTAGATTAATTACTCGTGACTTCTTGAGTCTTTGTAGATGCATTTGCTGCAAACAGTAGATTGATGTCTACGCATGCGTATGGTTTTCTGAAGTTTATAGCTTTTGACGGTCAAATGCTAACCACCGGGACGGATGAAAACGCTGGATAGCATAGTACTCACGGGCTTGTCGGTTTGTGGTTTAATCAGCGTGGTGCATTGTAGATGTACTATTAACTTCACGGGTAGATATGCAAGGTTTACTTGACCTAATTAATACTAGTATCAACCTGTACGAGCCCAACTATTTGGTGAAACTACTTTGACAGTTTGATTGAGTGGAAAGACTGACCAGGTACATTGTTCAGATCTAGTAGACAACTTTTAATTATTCTGATCTAAAAAAATTGTTATGCCAATTTGTTTTGGTTATGATACAACCATACAAACAACTACTAGCTTATTGACAATCTGGTAATATAGGGCTAATCAGTACTAAAACTTAAGCGGTTTAATTGTTGGTGCTAAACAGAGACTAGCAGATGATCGTCGTTTTTGGAGCACATTTTCCATCTGCAGCAGCATATAAAGGTAGCTAGCTGACTTTAAAGATTTTTGTCAGTTTTCATTTATTCTTTGCGATTATTTTTGTCACTTTTCTCTTTTGTACGCCAAAACTAGCTACTTCCTCCATTTCACAATGTAAGTCATTTTAGCATTTTCCACATTCATATTGATCAATATGAATATGGGAAATAATAGAATGACTTACATTGTGAAACGGAGGGAGTAGATCCTTTGGCAATTCATACAATCCTTATCTCTACTTT